GGAGAGAGTGCTGCACTCACTCTTCTCGCATTGAAATCGAAGGCAAGGCACCGCAAGAGGGGTAGGTAGGGGGCCTATGGAGAATAACAATCCACGGGTTGGGGTAAACGGCACAAATAAATGCTGTGAGCACTGATGATTTGAAGTGAAGACATCCAATTATTGATTCCACAAGAATACATACGTAGTTGGCTTCGGCGTCTCTCTGGATTATTGGGAGGCCGCGACAATCGACCCTTTATGATTTATTGTGGTTTCGTCTGCCCTGTGTGCTAATCAAGCGGTTGACGTGACCGGGCGTATAGTAGCTCAGGACGTACGTGCGTCCTCATTATGAGGCCGCGAAGAGTTTTTTCGGCAACTATTTGTATTTTCGAGAGGCATTTTTTCTGGTTTTATCCTATGCGAATGGTTGAGGTGTTAAGTGTGTGCGTCACACCAACATGCATGCATCTATTTTCCCGTCCGTGCATGCTTGCCGGCATGGGAGAGGGAAGAAGATATCCCCCATCCCGTGCCAGCCTCGCCCCCTACTCCCAATCTCTCTAGTAACTAACTGTCTTTGACGCTCCTCGTGGGCCGCAGGACTGGCCGCACGAACGCCTTCGTTGGCGACACGAGCGCCACTTACTCTTAGGAAGACCTTTTTGTCTGTATGTTTTTTATCCGCCATCAGCAGCTTTTGGGAGGCTCTGAAATATATAGAGAAATCTACACTAATACCGTCCCTAGTTCTCTTCCGGGGAGGGCGAAAAAAAGATGGGGGTGGAACGAAGGTGACGTAGCCCGCCTGTGGTCGATACAACATTGTCCGTTGTTGTGGCATTTGCGCCGCGGTCAATCACATGTAGGCCCAATGCACCTGACTGAACTGCGCGCACCCTTGCCCCCTCGCTCGCTCTTTGCTACTAGTTAAATGAAACAACCAAACAAACAGCGCGTATTTCTGTGGAGTCAGGATCATTTGGTTGATTGCTGTCTATAATCACACACACACACATGAAAAACCGTTACTCCGGGTTCTCTGCTCAGTACCGGTTTCAACTCACGCGGACGCCTCCCGTGGCTACAGGCCACCCCACCACAACCGAAAAAACGAAAAAACGTACCACACACTTTCATTAGGATGAACCAAAAGAGAACGAGAAGCCCGACAAAAAACGAATTTTATTCATTGGACACCAACAAGCTCTTCTCTTCGCGCTATTCATCCAAGTCGAAGACGATGTCCGCATCAGCTTCGAAACGACCAATCTACCCCCCCCCTTTGAGCGACCGCATACTAGTAACAACGTGCACACAGGTAAATGACCCAACCCGGAGGCCATTCGAGGTCTTACGGGAACAAAAGGCCCGATCTTGGCTTGACCGCTTGCTTCATAAAAACTGTCGTCCTCGTTACGCACCATCCTGTGACAACGATGCCACTTTAATAGAGACAACGATAACCTCTTAGAAGAGGATTCGCACGGTACGGTTGCCTCGGAGGCAAGCTGCGTTGCCAATTCGAGGTCCTGGAAGGCACCCGAACTCTTGAAGAAGAACAAACTACCCCCATGGTAAGGAAGTCGCGACAAGACTCATTCGCAGGCAATAGCGACATAAATTGCTGGCCGGCTGACGTCGACAGTGTATTATAGTCGCTGCTGCCGCAATGGTACTCAAGAGCCGTCAAAGAGCAGCGCCGTCCTGATCAAAGTTGCAGTGCTCTGAGGTGCTCGTTTCATGCATCACCTTGGTCGCATACCGTGCCCCTCTGCGCTCGCTCTCTCTCGACGCCACTGACTGACTCATGCTGCGAAAGCACGCACCAGACGAAACCACGAAAAACAACGACTCTCGAGTAGATACCATCTACCAGCCGCAAGACGCAACGATCATGTGACTGACTGGCGTGTTCCCAGGGCCCCCAGAGGGGGCGAACAACATGCAAGAAACACGAGTAAAAGGAGGTCAAGTAAGGGATAAATACTACAGACAAACACGGCAAGCTGGAGAGACACCAGTACGACAGGAGCCTACGTGCAGTGCGAAACCACAGAACAACAACAACATACCGCCGGCTTGTAAAAACTTACCGGAAACACGCCTGGCCTTTTCTTCAAAACCCACCAGAGCCAACCCACCCCCGCCGCAAAGGCTAGACTACGGACAAACACACGCGCGCACGGTGGTAGCATTTTGCGTTTTCTGCTCCCAACCGCACCAATCTTTTCAATGGATAACGCGGTCGATGCTAGCAAAAACACCAGGCGCGTACATCAAACAAGGATTCAACAAGAAGATGACAAGAGAGGAACCAAGAGTGGAGGGGTCGGGAAGAAAAGACAGAACGAACACCCCGTGCAACGGACGGCATAATAATATGTCTACAAGCTCACTCTTCACAAACGCAGCGCGAACACCATGTGGGGAGAGCGCCATAGGCCACGACGCAAACAGCCAAAAGATTCGACACCAACAATTAACAGAGCCAGTGCGGGTTCTCAATCCGGCGCACGCAAAACGAAGCATGCTTCGGGTCCGACGCCACGAAGAGCAGAAAAATCCAAGAAGCACAATCCCAAAACAGCACCGGCATAAGCATTTCCTTCTCTCGTCAATGAGTTTTAGGCCGGCGGACTGCTGTGATTTTTTATAAAAATATGTACCGACAATCCAAAACGCCAGACAACAAATATTCAACTTGCAAAAAACAAACCACAGCCGATGTAGCCTGCATGCTGAAAACAGCACCAGCGGCCGCGGAGGGGGGGTGGGGGGGGGGGCGTGCAGGAAAACATGTCGCATTCGAAACAACTGCTGTAAACATCCCAAGGATCGATCATGTTATTTTTTGTAATACGGTAGTCTTGGCCGCTGGCTTCAGCAAAAGCCGCAACAGCGGCTGCACAGTCATCAAGAGACAGGAACGACGCTGAACAGAACAACAAGAGAACACCCAGGGCGCACCAACATGGAACACACGAAAGTCGTCACATCGCGCCCAGCCAAGCACCGGCAAGAGCTTAAGTGGCACCGCAACAAGACCAGCAAGTTTTGGCACCGGCACCCACCCGTGTGCCGTCCCTCCACGCGAGCCGAGTTCTCACGGCAAGTTGGAGCACCGGGCGCCACAAAAAACATGAAAATACAACACAAAAAGAGCTATAAATCTACAGAGCTTCCCCCCCCCCAGGTTTTCACTTCCTTCATTGGCACACCCTTTCCTCTCCCGCCCCGGAAAACCCAACAAACCCCCCCTCCACATAAGAAGAGAAAAGCGGCTCCCAGCCGGGGCGACAAAAACTTCATTTTCGGCCTATATCCCTGATGCCTTTTTTTTAGGGGCCTTAAGACCCAAGAGAAAAAATCGAAAATAATAGGGGGGGGGGGGGGGATCTACCTCAATCTACCTCAAATTACGGACCCGCTCGCAAAACAAGAACAAGAAGCAGGCTCGTCGTGACTCGAGGGCGCGGGGGCTAGGAACTGCCTGGCATGTTGGACCCGCACAGAAATCACGCGGCACCGCCGCACCAGACCTTGTACACCCTTCTCTCTTACACGTGTTTTCGCAACACCTCGGCCCTTTTTTCTTTCGAGCGAAAACTGTCACAAGGAAGAGGCGGTTCACGGTGAAGGCCAAAGTAATAAAGACATGTTCTTCGATTCTTGAAACCGCCCCCCCCCCCCCCCCCCCGCCCCCGGGGCCCCCCACCCTGTTTGGTGGCCCCCCCAAACTTTTACCCAAAGTTGGCGTTTTTTTTCATTTTGGGGCTGGGCCCCGGGTGGAGGAAGGGGGGGGAACACAAAAAAAACCCAAATTTCTGGTTTTCCCACCGAAGAGCAATGGGAACCCCCCCAAAAAAAGTTTATAAAAAACCCAAAAAAATTTTTCCCCCGAAAAAAATCCAAACCGGAAAGAAGGAATGGCCTGG